TTTTTTTTTTGCCAGTCTGAAAAATTTGTTTGTACAAAAAGTAAAGCTTTCTCAACTAAAATTTTGACAGCAATATGATTACACATCAAAGAGATCAAAGAGTTATTTAAAGAAAGTTTCTAAAAATATAAAATTTTTCGAATTGTTGTTATTTAATAGTTTCGCTAATTTGCTTCAAAACAAATAAATATACTTCATTTTATTCAAAAATATTATAAATAAACGTTGTAAGGGACAAAAAATGAAGTAGCTATAATAGTTTGATATTGCTATTATTTTCAATCAAAAATGACTTGTTTATAAACAATTTTCGAAATTTTTTAAAACTTTAAAATGATAATTTTTTTACTAATGAAGATGGGATTTGAAATTAAATATTAACTGTTTATTGTTTATTTTTCCATTTAACAGCTTCAAAAATGCTACTTCAATATTTGTAAACAGTTAGCATTAAAAAAAAAAACGGAGGCTAATTATTGCTTTTTCAACTGCTCAATTATTATTTCAAATATAAAATTGATGAATATTTATGCATATTTCACCTGTTTATTGTTTACTGTTTATTGCTTGTTGTCATATGTCGATATGGATGAATGAAAATTCTGAATGATTACTTGTATTTTCTAGATTATTCATATATCTGCTCTTGATTTGCTCATTTGCTTTTTCGTTTTAGCATTTAATTTCAATATCCAATTTGAATGTTAATAATAAATAATTCATGGATAAAGTTACTTCAAATGAATTTTTATTAAGTAATTTAATCTTCCTCATTCCTTATTTTCTGCATTTTAAATTATAAAAATTGCTGATATTACATAACGGATATAAATTATTATTATTGAAGCAAGGCAAACAGAGAAATTTCATCGGAAATTTAAATATTGTTCATTATCTTATAGCTCTATCACCTAATTTACTTATTATTTTTTTTTGAACCGTTTGAAAATTAATTCAAATGTCTTCTTCAATTTATTCCTTAATTTAACTGTGGTTTTTTTATTGTTTATTATTGAGGACGAATGAAATATTAATTAATTCTATTTCATCACAAAATTCCTTCTTTCAATCGATAAATAAAAAGGAGATAACCTTAGCATTACTTAAATCGAACAATCTAAGTTATAAACAAGTAATATATATTAATAATTATTAATTGTTCACTTATCTAATTTATTTCTCATTTCTTTATCAAATTGCTAAATTAATTATATTTTAAAGAAAGCAGTACGAGCAAATGATACAATAAAAGCAGATGATATAATCTGATAAAAATCCATTACTTTTATTTTAAATTCAAGTTTTATATATAAATTTGCTTTTTCCTTTCTTCATGTTTTATTTCATTTTTCAGCTTAGAAATTTATAAAAAGTAGTTAAAAATTAAATTATTTGTATCTGAAATTTCTGTTTCAGGGTTAAGCTAAAAATATGCAAAAAAAAAAGAGTAATAATCCATAGAATTTTGCATTAACTGAGTTAAAAAAGAGTCATGCATTTTTTGTTTTTTTAATATTATTAGCAAAAAAGACAATTAATTGAAAAATAATTAGCAATTAACTGAAACTAATGAATCCATGAATATGATGAATCTCAGTGGATTGGAAATGTTGTTGAAACATATGTTCGAGAAGATGGACATACACTCCTACCACACATGAGAAATTATCATTTGTTGCAATTACACCTCCTTACTTCATTCTTTTTCTTATTTTCAACATTCAAAAAGTCATTTCCAATCATCGTTAATCCATCGCTACCATCTCTTGAAATCATTAATTCAATTTTAATCTCAAAATTGTTACTTCGAATTTTAATCCTGAAAGTTATTAGTTGAATTTTGAGTTAGAATTCTTCTCCGAATTCTTGCCTTAGAATCATTAATTGTACTCTAAAATTCGACAATTATTACTTGAATGCTTCCTTAAAGCATAAATAAATCTAGCTAGAAGTTCATTTAATGCTTTTTCAATGCAATTTCGAAAAACTATTTATAATTTTGTTTAATGCTTTCAAAAAAATGGATAATAATTACAAATTGCTGATTGAAATGCTAAATTGTATTAAATAGAAAATTATTAAATGTGATAGTACTTAGTTATTCAAATTATCCTCCTCATTTTCACAAAATTTACTTTCTTTTCTAAAATTATAAATTTCAACTCTCCAATTTTTTATCTCGCAAGGTTGTTATCGCTTATCAAACTTAATTTCGATGAAAAAAATATTAAAATGTACGATGAATGCGATGGAAATTTTATCTTTTAATAAAATTTGAGATAACATCTTTCCTTATCACAACTAACAATGGTTAAGTTAAATTTATCAGTCTTTTTTTTTCATTTATATGCAAAATAAACAATGCTCATATGAATATGAAAAATGCAAGTAAAGGCAATGAGTGATTTTGAGGATGAATTTTTTATAAATTAAATGATTCCAGCGGTTAATTTAAATGACCACTGGCTATTTTTTAATGAATAAAAGTTATTTTTAATTTGTTGTTAAAGAATTCTATACCGAATGAATTTCGTTTTTTTTTTTAATTTTTTTTTGCTTTGCAATTTTTTAACAAGAAAATGAAATGAGAAAAAAATGAAGAGAAAATGAATTCGAAAGAAAGACAAAGAAAAAATTAAATGAATACAGCTGGCTTAATTTCATTTCTTTCTTTTTTTTTTGTTCATTCCTATGTTACAACCAAAAATTTAAAGAAGTTAATTTTGTTTGAAAACAATAAAATCACAAGTATTATTTTTCTTTTTTACTAAATTTAACAATTTGCATTATCTGTTAAATTGCAATTCATTTATACTAAATTTGAGCGTAATTTTTTACTAATTTATACAATTTCAGTTGATTAAAATTTTAGAACGCTTAAAATTAACAGTCTTTTTTACATTTTCAGGCTAAAATTTTTAAATTATTGAATGCTTTTCTTCGCTCGAGTGTTGCTTGAATAAACAAATGAAATTAATTGCAAATGATTTTTGCTAAAAGATAGCAGCCATCGTTCTTTCTTTCTCTCTTTCTCTTCGAACAATTTGTTCATAGATTCAATAAATATGAAATTAACCGGAAAATAATCACATATGATTGATATATTGTGTTTGCAAATGAAAGATGACGAAATCGAATAGGTGTTTTGATGATAACAATTCTTATGATTTTAATTAATCCTTCCGATCAATCAAGAATTAATTAAATACTAAATAGCTAAGTAGAAGCAATTATTTTGAAGTATTTTTAATTATTGAAGAAAATAAGATAGGCGAAGAGGAATATTCTTATTTCAGTTTCTCATTGATTCATTCAACTAATCTGACAAATTTTATATTGATTGATTATTTTTTGATTCATATCAAATTTGTTGATAACTTAACATATTACAAATGTATTATTGGTAATTCATTGATATGTAGATTGAATGAAATTAAGATGAATAGAAATGATATATTTACCCAAAAAATACAAATTTCATTAGAAACGTATATTAACGAAAGATTATATTCATCTTAATTTCATTTATCTCTTCTCCGTATAATATATTTAATAAGTACAGGTAAATTTTTTTCAATTAAATATTTAAAGAACCGTATTTGAAAATATAGTATTCAAGAAGATATTTATAAATGTAATATTTAAGGGTCCACTGAGGTATTTGAAGATTGTAGTCATAAGCATAATATGTAAGAAACAGTATTAGAAGTGCAACGTTTAAAGCATTATTCATAACTATAATATCTGATAGTCTGCATTAGAAATACGGTATTAGAAATACGGTATCGGACGACAGTACACCACCCAAATACGATATTTGAAAAATTTTGTATTAGAAATACAATTTTTTAAGGAGATATTTATAAATGTGATATTAAAAAGTCTATTTGGTGCATTGAGTATTTAAAAAAGTATTCATAAGCATGACATTTGAGGAATTACTTTAGGAGTACGGTATTTAAAGAATTTTTATCATAAGGGTGATATTTAGGGAACAATATATCAAAAAAAAAAAAGGAATAATTATAAAGGACATTGAATTGAAAGGCGTAGTATAAATTGAGGATGAAATTTGTTTGAGCTATAAATGTACGAAAGAATAACAACTGTTACACTTGATGAAGTCATTCATTTATCGCTTTCTTCTTTCATTGAAAGAAGAAAAAAAAGTTTGAAAAGCGACAAATGGATTTGCTATTTCATTTTTTATTGTTATACATTTTTCTTTTCTTAAAAAGAATGTAATGAAAAAATTTTTGATTTTTATGCATATTTTTCCTTTTTTCTTTTCTTCAATCTTATTTTAAAATATAAAGCATATTTATGGATTGTTGACGAAATTTTGTTACGTGAAAATGTTTGTTACGTGAAGAATGCATTAAAAAAAAAAAAAACATTTAATTGATAATTTTACTTCGAACAATGTAAACATCATTTGTTAACTTTGATGCTATTTGCTAATGTATTCTATTCAATTTTATGTTAATTTTATTCAGAACAATTTTAAGTCTTCATTTCTTCGAAGCTAATAACAATTTATTTGATCAAATTTGAGCTAATATGTGATGTGGGAATGATATTTCGCCATTCAAAAAGATATTAACAAACAATGGGAAGATTCAGTAAGTTTTATTGCCTTTTTCTTTTTATGGGAAGAGAAAAGTTTTTTTTTTTTTAATTTATCATTTTAGAGATATTTAGAAAGCGGAAAAAAAAACGAAAATACACTTTTTATAACGTCAAATGCGTCAAGCTAAAAGTATGTGCTGTGATAATACTACTACAGCATATGTTCAAACTTGTACTGTATGATAAATATCGTGTAAATTGATATTACATTGTAAATTGATACCAACTGATATTTTGAGTTGTAAATGGTGCATCACAAACTTTAAAATTTTGATCAAATTTCACTGTATCCTTTAATTCCTTATTAAATTTCAATTTAAAAGAGAAAAGAAAGAATCTTATCATCATATTTCAGCACAGGATACTGGTTTGTATGAGAAACAATTCCTATTATCAGTTGAACGTGGTGATCTTGAAAATGTTCGAAAGTTACTGGAAATTTATAAATCCACCGGAGCATTTAACATTAATTGTTTAGATCCGCTAAGAAGGTTGCTATGAAAAAAAAAATTGTTTTCAAAATCTTTTCTTCTTTTTTTTCTTTAAAAAAAAGAGACGAAAGGAAATTTTTTATTGGTTTATTTTATTATCCAACTTCGTCCCGATAATAAAAAAGTTTTCAAAGAAAAAATTGGTTGATCGATTTTTCTTTTTCCTTAACAAACAATTTGCAAGAAATGACTGATAATAAAAATTAATTGATCAAAAAGTAAAATAATTTTTCTTAATTTGATCGTTTACAGATCGGCACTTCATATAGCTATCGAAAATGACAATATTGAATTGATCGAATTGCTATTAGATTATAATATTAATACTGGTGATGCTATCCTGTATGCTATCAACGGGGAAAATGTTGACGTAGTTGAAATACTATTAGAGCATTTGGAAAAAATTGGCAGATTCACTCCTGAAGTTAGTTGTTATCAAATTTGCAACTCAAACTATTTTTTTTTGGAGCTAATTAATGTTTTAATTCAATTGCTTCATTTAATTTGGCTAAATTTTATTTAATTCAATTGATTAATTTAACTTAATTTATGTTTTTTATTTTAAATTTGTTCTTCGTCTAAAATGAAACTGGAATTTTTATTTCAAAAAAAGAAAAAAGTTTAATATACATTTTAATTTTTGAATTATTTCAGACACAAGGTGTTGAAATTACTGCACATTCAGCATTTACATCTGATATGACACCGATCATTCTTGCAGCTCATAAGAATAATTATGAATGTATAAAGTTATTACTGAATAAGAAAGCTACAATACTCCATCCGCATGATATACGATGTTTATGCAAGGAATGTGTACAGGTAAATAAAGCAATTAAATTGATAAATTTTTTAATGAAAAATTAGAGAAAAGCTATTTTTTGAAGAACAACGAAAAAGATTAATGAACATTTTTTCTTTTTGGAAAAATTAGCAAATTCATTCTTGAAGTTGGTTGTTATCAAATTTGTAAATTTTTTTCTCTTTTTTTTAAATGAATTATTTATTGATTAACGTTTAAAGAATTTTTAAAAATTCATTACATGGAGTTAATTTTAATAGAATAATCTTTTAAGACTAAAATATTTGTAGGCAAAGGCAGAAGATTCTTTATGCTTCTCACGATCACGTATTAACACGTATCAGGCATTGGCCAGTCCATCACTTATCTGTTTATCCTCAAAAGATCCTATACTGTATGCATTTGAGCTCAGTTATGAACTTAGACGATTGTCAAATATTGAAAATGAATTTCGAAATGAGTACCAGGTGAGTGATTTGAAAAAAAAATTTTTTTCTCACTGTCAACTGATTAACAGTCAAATTACTGCTATCATGCACAAATTTATAAAATTTAATTATATATGAAATTTGATTAAAAATTTGAAAGCATAAATGAAAAATTTGAATGCATAAAAAAATTTATTAACTTTGCTTTTATTAATGTAAATGTTTTCGGTGTTATTTTAAGAAATCAAAATTTGCCACTTTTGGGAAATCCTCTCTGCTAAAGCTTCTTTCTATTTGACGCTCTCATATTTTTTTTTTGCTAAAAAATTAAATTAATTAAACATATGACCCATTTCTAACAATTGTTAAGAAACAAATGAGTGAAAAATATTTTATAAATTAGCTACGAAATTTGAATTACTTGATATCATTTAACTTGTTAAAAATTTTAATCACAAAAGTGCTTATTAAATGTTTCGAATTGTAATATTAGAAATACGAGTAATAAATAAAAACCATCTCAATGTTCATAGCCAGTGTTGCTGATTATCAGTAATGATAATCATTATCACTCACCATTAGCAATGATGACCATTATTACTCATTATCAGATCACGTTGTTACACATTATCACTAATGACGACCATTATTATTCATTATTGTCACTCATTACCACTAATAATAATGATTATCACTTAGCAATCTGTGTAATATTTTCAGGAGCTCAGTCGAAAATGTCAATCATTTAGTGTAAACATGTTAGAACAAGTGCGCGGATCTAAAGAATTAGAAATTATCCTAAATCATACCACAAATGCGTGGGAAGAAGTGACCGAAAGGAAGAGTGTTAATTTTTATCAAAATTTAGCAAGACTAAAACTTGCTATAAAACTTAGACAGAAAAATGTGAGTAATTCATGAGAATTTTTGTATTAGGATTTATTCAAAAATTTACATTTTAAAAGTTGAAAGTTAAAAGACGCCAATTAAATTAAAAATGAAAAAGATTGATTGTTTATTTTATAAATGTATGATTTTTTGACGTGAGTTGCCATCATTATAATTTTACTGATAATTCACGTTTAAGTTCAACATAATAAAAATTAATTAAAGTTGAGAATTAAAAAACGCGGACTAAATAGCGCATTAATTAGTGAACTGTATTGCTGAATTGATCAATGACATAAAACTGTTTAAAATGATAACGTTTAATTTAATAATTGATGGCATTGTTTCGATCAAATAACTGATACTTTATCAACACGTACTTGATTTTTAAATTGAGTACTATCAGAGGTCATTTCAGTTCGTCGCACACCCAAACTGTCAACAATTGTTATCCGCGATATTTTACGAAGGTCTTCCCGGATTTCGTGATCGCCATATCGTCACAAAGGTCAACTTTACGCTTCCAATTATAATGGATTTTTTTTTTGCATATTTATGAAAATATTTCTTTCCTCTTTCATCCATTTTATATTTAATCAGTAATAGAAATGTTTCAAATCTCTAAAATTTCTAAAATTTATCATTTAAATTGCAGTGAAAAAATTTCATATGAAGTTTTTATATACAATTGGAAAATTAATCCAAAACTTACCATATATTTATTATGAAATGATTATTAATTTGATAGAGATAGCACTTCGTGCTGTTGCATTTCTGCATGATACTATCAC